TATATATATGTTTATATATATATATATATATATATATATATTCACACACACACACACACACACACACACACACACACTCACATGTATATATATAAATATTATATTCATATACACACATACATATACATATACATTTATTAAGTATGTATATGTCTATTTATATAAATTTATACCTACCTATTTGAACTTATGTACTACATACACACACACACACACATATATATACACATTTATATAATATGATATATATATATATGTATACATACACACACACATATATATATGTATATATAATATATATATATATATATATATATATATATATATATATATACATGTATATATATATATATATTTTTATATACATACATACATATATACGTATATATATATATACATGTATGTATAATTCTATATTAAAATATATAGATTCATGGATGCCTGTAGGCAGAGATATGTCGTGCTTAGCATGTTATGTCTTATGGTCAAGCCATGATTTAGATAGAATTTGAAGTCTACATAGCTGGTCAGATATAAGCATCCCAAAATATCTGATACTGACCCCAATGAGAAACTAGGACGGAATAGGATATTTGTTATATCAATTCGCGTTTGTGCCTGATTTAGTCGACACTAGCCGACGTGCTTTCGTAGCCGGAATTCGCTTCTTTATGTACACAACTACGATACAGTCTCAGTAGGCTGTTCACCGGTCAAATCATTAAGGAGCGTCTCCCACACTGCCAATTGGTCCTTCGCACAGGTATACTGCGTATCTACATAAGACGTGATTGACTCGTCTAATAGTCCCACGCGATACTTGTCATAGCTGGCCCACTGATCGGTCAGGGCGGACTGTTCAGAAGGAGAATAGCGGGTATGATTAGTTACAGATATCATAAGTACAACGATATCATTCTTAATGACACTCACCCGTCTAGACGGTACACATGTTAAGTTGATGGTGTCTACATCTATTCGACTGAGTATGTAGATCGCGGTGAAATTTCGGCATTTTTTTTTAAATCCTCACGAGTCTGTTGTGTACTGCTAAGATTTGGCGTTAGACTGCACGCATATGGGCCAGACTCACGCTGTTGATACATGAAACACAGGACAATTACACAGGATATTCATATACTTGATATATCTAACGGGTCGATAAGGACGGAGAGCCTTCGCTTACCGTGATCCGAAAATCCAAAGCAGCAGCAATCACATACTGCGTCAACTCGCATAACACTATACATAGACTTAGAAGTTACACTCCACACTAATACGCAAACACATGCCGCTGTAGTTCGATATACTCGGCTGGTATGAGTCAAGGTTGGGTGTAATCACGTGGCATTGACAATCACATTAACCGTGTTCATACAGTTTGCAAGAAGCTTCGATGATCTGTGGGCGAGCACTCTGCTCAATAGTCGACACGCATTTGACAATGCATTATATGTGTATGTACCTTTGAACTCACACGCCCACGTACCCATGCATCCATACAACATCCAAGTCTCGTACAGTTAAGTAGATGGCGATGCCGCAGGCATGTACATAGCCCCTCTCGCACCTAACACTAATCTCTGTAGCTTGTGTGTGTACCTTCTCCGCAGAGACCTTTCCACACTATAGAAAATTAACTATCCTATGGATTGATCTGTCGTATCTGAATATCTTACCCATGCACCTGACACACACACACACACACACATATATTTCTATACAATCGCATATAGCTGTGTTTTTAATACGAGTCTTCTAAATCACATCGCTTTTGCATGGATTGGGTGTGCGCCTTCTCCTCAATGACCAACATTGAGACACGCATACCACCATGCTCATATACTTACCTAGCTGTGGATGTATGTGGCTCCATATGCCTAAAAAGGACTTATGACTCACAACCGTGGAGTTAAACGTACCTGAGTCTCCATGTATATCTTTTTGGCCTCATCTCTATCCTTCATAGCCTGTGTGTGAGCCCTCTCCGCGGCGTCTGTCTCCGATGCCGTAGCACCCGATCCACTCGTTCTACTTACGGCAAACCTGGATTTTTATGTACACGTGAGTGATTACTACCACCAAAGATCAACCCGAACGTACGCAATATGATATAGACCAGGAAATGCATATAGACGCAGGCTAATGTTTAATATTTCGGTGTATTCGTGACGCAAGCTTGCCGACTGAGGGGGTGCCTAAAACACTCAACTGTAGAACACCCTAGTACTTGAGACAAGAAACAAGCACAGCAAGCAATCAGAGACAATTCAATGAGATCACATCCGGCATGGCTACACGCAAGTTCTAAAACCAATTTAACACTATAAATACATGATATACATACACTCGAGAAGTCTTGCGGACATGTTTGGCCTCGTCTTCGTAGCATTTGAGTTTTTCGTTGCGGTGGTCGATGGTACGCTTGACATTGTGAATGTCGCGAATGAGCTGTGTGTACGCATCTCCTGCACCAAAAACGGGTCAAAAACGATTCAGTGAACTCCTGCTAATGGAATAAGAACACCACACACATACACGTGGCATCATTCCACGCGTGACAGTGTTCGCATCGTATGAGCGAGCGTTCCAGACAAGGTGAATACAGTGTAAGTGACCAGGCATGTTTGGAAATGAAGTGCTATTGGAGGCTCTGGTGTAGTATGTTTGAAAGGCTTAGCGTACAACTGTATATTGCACGGTTGTGAAGTAATAACACCTCATCCTAGTCCATCAGCGACACCAAGCTACTTAGTACTTGGGCGGGTATGTAAACAGACAATATTTATTCAAAGAGTGCTATGGCGAGTTGATTCACACAGACAAGTCTGGCCCTTCGAAGTATATCAGAGGTGGTACAATACGGCACGCCTACCAGATCTTAGCCAAACACACAGATGAGACCTCGGCTCATCATAGTGGTTATCACATGGTATATACCTAAACCTCGGCCCCTCTCCAGACGCATGTTTCTGACAAAAAGTATAACGATGTTTGTACTGTGCCTCACACAGATGCAATACGGTATACGGAAGCAAGTACTACGCGATATCATAACATTGCCTACATATCATGGGCATGGCGATAGTATTATACTCCAACAGCTATCTAAACCCTAAACCCTAATATTACCACTGAGGGTAGGGCGAGAAAACATACATACCCACACTGTTAACAGTTTTCCTTGCTTGAAGATATGTAAGTTGGTTCATGGAGGAGAAAGCATGGGCCGACAGAGCCAGCAGATCAGCGTATATTCCCCGAGGCTCGGCTCGGCTGAGATGGTGTAGACTGACGTGAAGAGTGCGGTAAGAGATGGGGCGGGCAAGTGAGAGCGTGTAGTGATGAGTGTTAAGGTACAAGTATACATAGTGTATGTATAGTAAAAGTAAAAAGGCACAAGTATACATAGGACATGTATAGTACAAGTATAAAGGTACATGTATACATAGTGCATGTATGGTACAAGTAAAAAGGTACAGGTATAAGGGTACAAGTATACAGAGTGCATGTATGGTACAAGTATGAAGGTTTAAGTATAAGGGTACAAGTATACAAAGTGCCTGTATGGTACAAGTGTAAAGATACAAGTATAAGGATACAAGTAAACAGAGTGCTTATATGGTGCGGGCTGTGAAGGTACTAGCTACAAATATCAGTGTATTCATAGTCAGACTATGTAGTACGATTGAGAACCAAATAACTCAAATTGCGATGTACAAGAAAATATGTAAACAATGAGATATATTGCGAGAGGGTGTACTGCACGATAGAAGAGCCACGTGTATGCAAATGATCGCACACACCTTTGGGCTAAGCGTGCGTAGTAGACGGCAGTCTCCCGTCGTGTGGTGTCACTCTCTGTGATGCTCTCTACGACAGCATTGCAATCCGACAACACATGCGTCACGCCGGCGTTGAGAGTGTCAAAGTCGAGCAAACCCCCTTGGATGTCTATATGGACAAGTGCAGTGACCGCATGTGTATGAGAGTGATAGTCGACTCGCTTGAGTACGCTCAGGCCAGACGATACAAGATATGACGTATGCGTGCAGAATAAACATCCACCGGGCATACTGAATGCGAATACCAAATCGGATATATGAACGAACACTAACATATTTTACAGATGTAATACAAAGACTTAGATAATCAGTACAAACAAATAGATATGTATTTGAATACAAACACTTTGATACTAATTCAATACAAAGACTTATCAATTCAATAGAAAGACTCAGATATGCAATTCAATACAAACAGAGATTAATTCGAGACAAAAACTTGTATATTAATTCAATACAAACACTTATGTAATGATACAGACTTGAACCAAGGGCGATATTCCAGTAGTGGGGTAGACAGTAAGTTCCAGTCAGTGACCTTATCAGTAAAATACATGAAAAAAAAACACGATCACGACACTCTAAAGTACCTCGAAGTTGGGTTGTAAACAACCACAGTACAAGTAAGGACATATGTAATGCACATAACCCTCCACACATAGCAAACACTCAAAAACAGAAAGTACCCTCAGGGCTAGCACGTATACATAAGCGTGCATACCCCCCCCCCCCTCTCCCTATCTCACATCCCTACTTTGGTCGTCGTCTGTGACGGAGCCTCTCCTAGCAGACGAGTACATGCTCTTAAACGCCGACATGAACGGTACGTACTTCGACACTCCGGTGTGCCCGTCACCTACACCGTCACCAGCGCCACTGCTAGAGAACGACCCGAACATACTCGATAGCACACTCCCTGCACGCGACACTTCATCCGCAAGTGTGGGGGAACGCGGCAGGATGGTTGTCCCCGCAAATACGCTGTTGTGGAGCATGATAACTAGATTGAGCATTGTAGCACGTGCTATGAAATCGTATACACACTCCTAAAACATGCCACACAGCTACCCGGACTGCATGAGTCACTTCGACTGCAAGTGTGGGGTGTGGTACAGTAACCGCAATGAGTATTGTAGTATTGCCATATATGCTATGGCAACAAATACACACTCTAAACACGCTAGAAAATAAGCGGACTGTATGAGACACTTCGACTGCAAGTGTGGGGTGTGGTACAGTAAACGCAATGGATATTGTAGTATTACCGTACGTGTTATGGCAACAAATACACACTCTAAACACGCTAGCAAATAATCGGGCTGCATGAGACACTTCGACTGCAAGTGCCAGTGAATGCGATGTGGTGGGGTACGATAGAAATGACAAGCATGCGAGTGTATGCGTGACAGCAAGTACACACACACGCATCCTCAATGGTACGCTCACGCATGTAAAACCTTGTCTGCAAATGTGGGCCAGTGCGACGTTGGTGCGATAGAAGTAGGACATAGATACTGTACGTTGGGTTATTGCAATGGGGTGAGATTAAAAAATCTCCTTTGTTCAGTCTATGCCTCACACTCTCAGATATATATATATATATATATATATATATATATATATATATATATATATATATATATATATATATATATAATACTAACTAATAATAATATATATACTAATATTA